CTGCTCCTACTGCTGTGGTCATAACTGGTAACCCCTCACTAAAAGCTGGGTCCCACAGCTTTGTCCTACGTTTTCTTCCATGACGTTTATGGTTTTCGTTTTCACATGTAGGTCCTTGATTCATTTTTTTAATGGGTCTTAGTGTAGTGTATAGTATGAGACTCCCCATTTCTTATCTATCAGCAAATCTTGTTTCAAAACCCATGCAGGATCTAACCCTTCTCACCTCTCTAGTGCTTACACCTGGTGCAAGCCACCACAACCACCATTTCTTACCTGTAGTCCTGCAAGTGGTCCCTAATTGTTGGCCTGTTTGCATCCTTGCCCCCACAGTCTGTTCTTCCCCCAGTGGCAGCCAGATTGATCCTATTAAGCCAGGGACCAGGCATGACCCTCTCTGCCTGGAGCCCTGGGTTAGTCTAAGTCCTTGGAGAAACAGATACCAAGATGGGGATGAAATGTGGAATGAGTTTAGTAGGAACATCACCTGAGAGAGGAAATGGGGAGGGAGCTGGCAAGGGCTGGGAGAGTGGTCAGACCGGGATGCAGGTCTGAGCCAGGGGAAGGAGAGTGGGAAGGCAGGGAAGGATCTAGACTGCCGTGTGCTCTTAGGAAGGTTCAGCCAGGCAGTGGAGAGTCTCCAAGCTAGAGTTGGCATCCTATGCACCCCAGGAGCAGGAGGTATCCTTGCACACTCAGCCACTGGCTGGCAGCAGCCCATGGGGAGCCTGGCCTGGGAACAAATGTGGAAATGGATTTCCCAGACAGCAGCTGGGGCCTCTCATCAATTATGATTCCTGTAGTTGGAGGTCTGCAAAGGACATTCCTACAGCCGCTGCAGTCCTCAAAGTTCCCTTCCCAGTGAGAGTTGAAGTCAGAGTCCTCACAGTGGCTGCCAAGGTCCCTCCGACCACATGTCCTCCTATTCTCTCCCCTTATGTCCTTGTTCCAGCCACGCTGGCCTCCTTGCTGCCCCCTGAACACACCAGGCATGCTGTGTCACAGGCCCTTTGCACTAGCTGCTCCTGCTGCCCGGGAGTGTCCTCCTTGTGCTGTCCCCAGGACCACCCCTCTCTCCCTCCACTCTCTGCTCAGAGGGGGTCTTCCCAGCATGGCCCTTCCCACCACCCCAACCATCCTGTCTTCCTTCTCTGTGTCTCTCTGTAGCCTTTGGGGCCACCTTCCACTATTGTTACACTGCTTGTCTTGTGTCTAGTGTCCACCACACAGTGGGTGCTTAGATCAGGACTCCATGCAAGGCACAGTGGGCACCGGTGGCAAATGTGGGTCTTGGCCACAAGGCCGCATTCCCCTGTGGCAGTGTGTCTGGACACCTCTGTCCCCAGCCTCTGCCTGACCCAGTGCTCTCTCTCACTCTCGCGCTCAGCGTCCTCACTGCAGCCAAAGCGACCTTTCTCATACAGGCTCTGATGCTGCTACTTCCCACTCAAACACCTTTAGTGGCTCCCCATAGTCATCCTCAGCCTGGAGCTCCAGGCCTTCACTGAAGGCCTATCTCACCCCAGCCTCTCCTGCTGTAGTCACTGCAGACTAGAGTTCACCACCGTTCACCATTCCACAGATATGCCGTTCCCTCGGCTGAGAGCAGGCTGCTCTTCTCCACTGAGGGGGTCTCCCAGCTCCTGTCAGCACCTTTCTGAAACCCACTACCATCACCAATTCTCTCCCCATCCCACCCCAGAGTGCATCCTACAACTCTCTGTGTCTACAGGTGCTCATGCGAGGGTAATATTGTATTGCAAAGTCACCAGGGCTGGGTATTATAAGGGAGACCGATGTTCAGGTCCTGCAGGCCTGCTCCAGCCCTAAAGCAGGGCTGTGGCTTCAGTTCTCACCTCTGCCCACCTGGAGGAAAGTCTTGGTCCTAACTTCACACCTCTGCTGGGGCTGGTGACCATTCCAGGTCAACTAGCTCCAGCCTGGGTCCAGCTCCACTGCCCACAGGACAGCAGGAGGCCACAGGCACTGGGGGAAATGGGCATCAAGACAGACAGCCGCAGCTCGGCCCAGGCCGGGTCAGCTCAGCTAAGTCCCAGTACAGCCAAACCCCAGACCACCCCCAGGTCCAGCCCAGCATATCCTGGCCCAGCCCCACAGACAGCCCATTTCAAAGCCTGGACGGTCTTTTTTTCTTAATTTTTATTGTGATCTGGATGAAAATTTACAGAGCAAATTCATTTTCCGTACAGCAGTTCACACACATTTTGTTTCATGACATTGACTGCAGTCCCCACAATGTAACAGCTCTTTTCCCACTTCCTCCCCATAGTCACCTCTTCCCTGTGGCCTTCTTTCCTGTGCATTCCTGCCCCTGAGCTGTCTCCCTGTGCAAACACTGCCCTTCCGTTCTCCCACGATTGATCATTCTAAGAGGAGTATCTACCTGATGTAAATGTTCACCCCATATGCCTGTCTATTGTTTGGCTGGAAGCCACAGGAATGTGTTCAGTTCCAGACCTGAAGGGTAACTAGGGGCCATAGTCTTGGGGGTCTCATCAAGGTCTGGACAATCTTGCATCCACACACCGAGCGAGGCAGTTTCCCCCACTACCAAGGAAGGACAGGAGCTCCTAGTTTAGCACTTCCAAGCGTGTCCTGTTGACAAGGCCGCCCCCAGCATCTCAGCCTAGAAATACAGGTCACACCCTGAATACAAATGCAGCTCTACAGGTCAGGACCTGCCACTGGCTTCACTCAGCAGCTGCTAATTGGCAGCAACTGGAAAACCACCCCCCCCCTCCCCAGCCTCCCTGCCCCAGCCACAGCTCAAGGCTGCCCTGCGGGGTCAGAGCCCTGCGGCCTGGCAGGCTGCTCCTTTTCTCTTGGGTGTCCCCTGGCTGCATCGGCTGGAAGCAGGAGGCCTGTGGTCCCATCCTGGCCCCGCCACTGAGGGCTGTGTGGCCTTGGACACCTCTGGGCCTCTCTGGGCTACTCTGTGGAGTTGAGTAGCCAGCGTGACATGAGGGAGAAGGGGACCATCTCACGGGACCCTGATCCACTGCCCCCACCCCCACTGCCAGCCAAGAGACCATTCCCCGCCTCTCGGCGACCAGAACGTGTCCTGCCCAGAGGTCTCTCTGTGGGTTTGGGCCTACCTAGGGAGGGCCAGTGGCATGGGGCTCTGAGGAGCAGACCCCACCCCCCGACTCCCATGGACCAGGCTGGAGAAGACCCTATAAATCTCCCTCCAATGGAAACGGGGCTCCTCCGTGGGGTGACCCTGCCCTCCCTACCCAGAGGTAGGTTAGGAAATCCCTCTTCCAAGACCCACCCTCTTTCTGGCTCAGAAAGACCCCTGAGCTGATCCCCACCCAGGCTGCCTCGCCACCCCGTGTCTGATGCCCTTGACGTGAGGTTTCCCAAGTGCCAAATGGTTGATTACATGGGTTTTCATGCCCGACTGCCTCTCGGCGCCTTCCTCCTGCCTCCCCTCACTCTCCCCTCCCTCTTCCTGCCTCTGAGCACCACCTGTCTCTCCAGCCTGCCTCCAACCACTGCTTGCCTGTTGCCGTGGAAACCGCCTCCTTGGCAACCAGCCGGCATCCATATGACATGTACACACGGAAGGAGGTTCCTGCCTCTTGCTCGGGCTGGCAGTGGGCCCTGCTCAGGCAGCCCTGACGTGGGACCCCAAGCCCAGCAGGACCCCAGGGAGGGTCCAGGCTGTGTCCACAGGGAGGAGGGAGGCTGCAGCTTCCTTTGATGATAGTTCAGCTGCTGCTTGTTCAGCCCTTGCTACTCATCAGACCCTGGGCTTGGAGCTTCCGTGGGTGAAATCCTGCACCGAGCCTGCAAGGCAGATATGGTTGTTCCCATTTTACAGATGAGGAAAGTGAGCCCAGAGGGGTTAAGGGGGTGTCCGTGGCTGGCAAGTGTCGGAGCCAAGAGTTGAACCCAACCTTGTCTGACTTCACGTGGTTTCTTCCACCAGCTGGTGGCCTCCAATCAGGGCCAAGAGTGAGTGTAGCTGAGACACACTACACAGTGAGGAGCCCCTTCCCCATAGCCTGTTTGGTTCTGCTCACTTTGTACTGAGCACAGACATAGGTGCAGAGACTCAGAGACAAACAGGCAGGACCTCTGCCCTCCAGGAGCTCCTGTCTGGAGGGTGGGGTTGTTGGGGGTTGTTGCTTGCCTGGGCCCCGTTGGGGGGGGCCGGGGGGTTCGGGGCTTGGGGCTTCCCCAGCCAGCAGGGCTCACTCACTGACTCAGGCTTCCCTGGAGGAGACTGGGGGTGGGAGTGCTGTGGTCAGAGAGCGGGTGATGGGAGCTCAAGACCAGAGCCCAGGTGCCTCAGGGGTGCTGACTGCAGTGGGTGAAGGGAAAGTGTAGGCAGTGGGAGGTGGCATTCTGAGGTCCTAGCTGGATTCTGGATGCCCTCAGCGTGAGTCCAGTGCCCTAGGAGGAAGAGAAGGTGTGTGGTCCCGAGAGTGCCAAGGTCTCCCTTGAGCATAGACTGGGCTGTGGGATCTGGGGAAGCCTAGAAGGTGTGGGTGGATAAGCCGGACCCTCATAGGGGCAGGGCTTTGAACCAGGAGAATGAGGCAGACGCCAGGAGGGTGTCCTGTTGGATCAATGGTTGCAGATGTCGTGGCTGCCTGTTGCTGGCTGCTGGGCCTCTGAGGGCCTGGAGACAGGGATGGTGGATGTGAGTCCAGGTACCCTTCCTCTTGCCGCCGGGTAGGACCTCAGATCGAGCCCAATGAGGTCACGCATAGGCACTGTTGGGGGTCTTTGAGGTGGTGGGAGGGGGTGGCAGGTGCACAGACAGGAGTTCGTGCCAGGCAAGGTGGATGGCAGAGTACCCGGCATGGTATGGCTCAGCAGGGCAGGCATCCCCTCACAGCCTGTGGCCCATGGGCTCTGCCTGGCCCTGGGCTCCCATGGGGGTGTCTGTAATAGGCTGGGCGGCCCAGCACCGAGGACCCAGGCCCAGCCCCACAAACACCGCCCTGACCCTCCCTCCCTGTCTCCTGCAGGCCCTGCAGCGCCGTGAGACAGAGGTCTATGCCTTCATCAAGAGCGAGGCCAACAGCCCACCCTCCGAAAGGAGCCCTCTCTCCCAGGTACACCGGGGTGGGCAGCAAGTGCAAGCCTGGCTCCTCCACTAAGTCCTCAGACCCTCAGTCTCTTCCTCTGTGAAACAGGAGTTTAAGAGGCCCACGGGTGTGCCTCACCTCTATTGACCTGGATCCTTCCCCGAGCACCTGGCCCAGCAGCTCAGAGCCCATGCAGTAGTTTCAGTCACTGCTCTACCACTTCCCAGCTGTGCAGCGCTGGCCAAGTTACCCAACCTCTCTGTGCCTGTGTGTCCCATCAGTAAACTGAACAGCCTATCAGTACCATCTTGGATTTGCCATGAAGATTGGATGCAGCACTGAGAGGGGTGCCTGGGACCCAATAGGTGCTCTTGGGGTGTGAGCAGTCCTAACTACCACCAGGCCCAGTGCAGAGTCTACACTGGCCCGTCAGGCAGGAGTGTTGTGCTTCCAGCCTGCCTCAGGCTGGCGCTGGCTAGGATTAGGAGCTGACTTGGGTGTCAGCCCGGCTGGCTGGGTCAGGGCTGGGTCAGGGCACCTTAGTTAGTCTCACGACGGGACTCAGGGTGTTGCTCAATCAGATCTTCTCTCCTAAACCTTGTTTCTTCATCTGTACAGTGGATGAGTGACACTCCCCTACAGTCCCAATCACCCCTGATGCCAAGTTTGCAGTGCCAGAGCTCGGAGCGCTACCAAGTACAAATGTTTCTTAAGTCAATACAGAACCCCATGCCTGCTGATGGGCCCACTGGCACCCTGGCAGGCTGGCAGAGAGTGAGGGCCTGGGATGTAACCTCCCTGGGCCAGGCTGGCACTGTCTGGTGGATGGATCTCCCTTCTCAAAGCCCTTTCTAGACTCAGCCTTGAATCTCATTAATATGAGGACAGTGGTCGTGCACAGGTGGAATTCTCATTTTCCACGCAGGAGATCCAGGTTGGATGCTTGGCCAGGGTACCTCACAGGCAGCTACCATGCAAGGAAGTGAGGGTGATCTGGGGTGGTGTCCCCCAAAGGGTGCTGGTCAGGAGGGACGGGCATGCCCCACTCCTCCTGACGCCTCAGAGCACATAGACACCTGTGGCCTGGCTGTGAAGGGTGGGTTCTGGGGAGGGACCAGACTAAGGTGTGAGCGTGGGGACAATGGGAGGAGGCTGAGCCCTGCCTGGTGAGTAGGGGTAGAGCACAGGTGGGGGGGCTTCCGGTCAGAGGGACCTGAATGTGGGGAAACCCGGAGGCAGGCAAGGGGAGCCCACATGGCTGCGGGGACAGAGAACAGGGCTGGAGGCAGAATGGTGGGAGAAGATGCCGGCGAGGGGACCAGGGCTGTGTCCTGCGGGTTGAGGACTGCAGGCAGGCCTCCAGTGAGGCTCTGCTCGGAGCAGTCCTTCTGCTTGCCTCTGACTCGCACTGAATTAGGGTTCAAGTTCGTCCTTCCCTCTGTACAGTTTTAGTTTGCTGTGCTTTCAGGAGGAGCTGTACAGATCTAAAGAGGAAGAAGAGTTCGGCCTTGTCTATGAGAATCTCTAGATCAGCAGCTTGTTCTGAACCAGAGGCACTGGAGCTGCCCCTCTCCCTCCAAAGTACTGGGTCAGTGCCAGCAAGAAGGCCCGGGGACACCCCATCACCTCACCTCACATCCAAGGCCCTCCTGCCTGGGCCTGGCCTGCTGCCCCGTTCTGCACCCCAGCCACAGCCGTGGACTCTCCTGTGTCTTCACACCTTTCCCGAGACTATTCCTTCTGCCAGGCGGGCCCTTCCTGGTGCAAAGTGCAATTCAGTCCTGAGGGCCTGCCTGGACGCTGCCCACCCCCTGGGTCCTCTTCACCATCTCGCACCCCACAGAGCTGTGTCTGCTGATGCTCTCTTGGTTCCAGCCTGCACCACAGCCTCTTGTTTGGTGTGTCCTACTGGCAAGACGGCCTGTGAGCTCCGGCAGGCCCCCTGCAGCCAGTGCCGTGAGCAAGAGCATGGAGAGGCGGAGGAATAAACCTGTGACTATGCAGCCGGCCCCACCTCCTCACTGCTCCCCTAGGCCAAGGGCACAGGGCGACCACACCAGGCATGAGCGGGGCGCTGGTGTGGGAGGCTGTGGGGTCTGGGCACCAGGAGCAAAAGGCCGGTGCAGGGCCAGGTCTGGGGGCACGGAGGTCACCGAGGGGTGGGGGCCTGGACCAGGGAAGGTCCCGGCATCCACCCTTGAGAAAGGAGCTTCTGGTCTGTTCGTTTCCTGAGGCTGTTGTAACAAAACACCACAAAATGGTGGCTGTAAACAGCAGGAATTTGTTGTCTTCCAGGTCTGGGTTAAAAGTCCACATGCAGGTGTTGGTGGCCATGTTGTCTCTGGAGGCTCTTGTCTCTTCCAGCTTCTGGTGGCCCCGGGCATTCCATGGCTTGCAGATCCATTGTCACATGGTGTCATCCCTTGTGCGTCTCTCTGTGCCTGTCTCCTGCTTTACAAGGACATTTTTTTTTTTTTAATTGTGATTTGGCTGAAAGTTTACAGAGCAAATTCACATTCCATGCAGCAGTTCACACACACTTCGTCTCATGACGTTGACTACAATTTACCCCAATGCAACAGCTCCCCTCCCACTTCCTCCCGATAGTTATCTCTTCCCTGTGTCCATCCCTCCATACACTCCTGCCCCCTGAGCTGTCTCCCTGGGCATACATAGCCCTTCTTTCTCCATGCTTGTTCTCTCCAAGGAGTGCATCTACCTCAGGTAAATGTTCACCTCATATGCCTGTCTTTTATTTGGCTGGAAGCCACAGGTGTGGGTTCAATTCCACATCCGAAGGGCATCTAGGGGCCATAGTCTCAGAGGTTCCACCAGGCTCTATCAGACCAGCAAACCTGGTACCTGCCCTTTTTGTTTTCTTCCCAAATGATTTTGAGTTTTATTCCATATTGTTCTCGCTCTCTATCCAGGATCTCCTACATAGATCCCCTTCTGAGTGGATGACAATGGTAGCCGGGCACCATCTCGTTCTTCTGGTTTCATAGTCATATAGGCTTGTGAATCACATGATGTACCTGTTGCTTGAACTAATTGTTTCCATGAATCTTTGGTTTTCTTCATTCTTCTTTGCTCTGGATGAAGAGAGACCCATTGTTGCATCTAGATGGCTGCTTGCAAGCTTTTAAGATCCCAGTTGCTACTCACCAAAGTAGGAGGTGGAACAATGTTTTGTGTAGTATGTTATGCCAATGGAGCTTGATGTTATAGGGACATTTTTCTTTTTTTTTTTTTAATTAGGATTTGGGTGAAGATTTACAGAGTAAATTCACTTTTCATACAGCAGTTCACATATACTTTGTCTCATGACATTGACCAAAATTGACAATGCAGCAGCTTCCCTCCCACTTCCTCCCCATAGTTACCTCCTCCCAGTGTCCATCCCTTCATACTCTTCTGCACCCTGAGCTATCTCCCTGTGCATAAGCAGCCCTTCCTTCTCCCATGATTGTTCTCTCCAGGGCGTGTGTCTACTTGAGGTAAATGTTTAACTCACATGCCTGTACTTTGTTTGGCTGGAAACCACAGTTGTGGGTTCAATTCCAGACCTGAAGGGCATCTAGGGGCCATAGTCTCAGTGGTTCCACCAGGCTCTATCAGACCAGCAAACCTGGTACCTGCCCTTTTTGTTTTCTTCCCAAATGATTTTGAGTTTTGTTCTATATTGTTCTCGCTCTTTATGCAGGATCTCCTACATCCCTTCCAAGTGGATGGCAGTGGTAGCTGGGCACCATCTAGTTCTTCTGGTCTCATAGTTGTATAGGTTGCAGATCGGATGGTGTACCAGTCTCTAGGACTGGTTGTTTCCATTAATCTCTGGTTTTCTTCAGAGACCCATTGTTGCATCTAGATGGCTGCTTGCAAGCTTTTAAGATCCCAGTTGCTACTCACCAAAGTAGGAGGTGGAACAATGTTTTGTGTAGTATGTTATGCCAATTGAGCTTGATGTCCCCTGCGACTATGGTCCCAAGCCCGCAGGATCAACTACTCGGTCCCTCTGGGTAGCTGGCTGTGACCAAGTAATGACCATAACCTTGCCCCTTGTCAGCTCTACTATACACCTGGGAATTCTGATCATTCACATGAACTTATAGGCCCATTGTTTGCCAACCCTATATATGATCTTGGATACACTCTCCATTTAGACATACCTAATTGTTAGCTTGTTCACCCATCTATCCGTCCCTATACCCATATTTGCTTTCATTGACAACTCAGTACTGTATATGCAAAGGGCTTCATATTTGTTGTCTGTACTGCCCATGTAACTCTCTCTGTCTTTCTCATCCCCAATGCTGCCATATTGGTCACTCACATTTGGTACATTGCCCTTCTCTTCCTACAGGGACATTTTTCATATAGGATTAGGACTCACCCTAATCTAGTATGACTTCATTTCAACTTAACTGATGACATCTTCAAAGACCTTATTTCTAAACACTAAAAAGCTCATGGGTACCAGGAGCTAAGACTTCAACAAATATTTTGGGAGGACATAATTCAATGATGACTAGGCTGTGTGGAGAGGCAAGCTCTCCAAGAGGCTGGAACTTAATTAGCCTATGTCTGTTCTGGGAGGTGAAGCTGCCTCTTTCTCCCAGGGCTGGCACCTAGGTCCTTGCTCTGACAGCCTGGGGAGGACAAGCATGGGGACAGTGTCAGACAGGGTACAGTGATGCCCTCCCTTGGGAAATTGGAGCCAGGATGCCTTCTTGATGTCCTCTCTGTCCTCAGCCCTGGACCCCTGCTCCTGGCCAAGAATTAGCCTTCTCCCGCCGGCCCCAGGGGAGTGACCTGGCCCAGCTGCACTGCCGCACCTCTGGCCCAGCCCCCCACTCCACACACACACCTGGACACCATCATCTATGTCCTCTCAGCCTCCCAGCAGCTGCCCAGCCCCTCCACAAAGCAGCAGAGGGGGCCTGATAAAACCTAATTAATTGGTTTATCCCCTTCACTTGGAACAACATTCCAGCTCCTTCCTATGGCCTACACAGCCCTCCGGTACTGCTTATCAGCAGGCCGTCACCCCTTCTCATCACCCCTCTGTGGATGCAGACATTGCAGCATCATGGTCTGACCTGGTGCAGGGCAGTGGGAGGCCGGGGGGTCCACAGAGAGCACAGAGAGGTCGAGAGGAGGAGGGTACAGACAGAAAGGCAGGCCCTCAGAGGGGCTGGGACACAAGGTGGGGTAGAGAGAGAATGTTCCAGGGCCCCCAGTGTGCAGCAAGGAAGCCCCAGACTCTTCCCCAGCCCATGGGACTGAGAGCTGGGGGGTAGGGGTCGGCATGGCAGGGGAGGGGCCTTGGAGGCCTTGGTCAGGAAGGGCAAGCTGCAGTCTGACGTTGTGAGTGGAGGAAAAAGGAGAGGAGAGAGGAAGGCAGCCCTGGTTTCCTGTGACGATCAAACCCCTCGCTGGTGCTCAGAGGGCAGATAAGAACTCTGGCACCTGGAGAGACCAGGGCTGTGTTTCCTTCCCGACTCATTCTTCAGACAAGCAGGACAGTGGACAATCTGGCCACCTGGCCTGCAGCCACCCCTCTGCCTGCCTCTGTCCCCAAGGTGGGCAGATCGGGACTACTGAAGACAGGCAGAGGGGGAGGGGGGAGGGGGAGGCTAGGAGCGGGGACAGGACCCCAGGGAGAGAGGGCTTGAGAGAGAGGGAAGGGGGTTGGAGCTGGAGGGCTTAGAGCTAGCAGGGAAGTCCTCAGAGGGACAGGCCTTGGGTACTACTTGCTTCTGTCTGGACCCTGTCCTAGGGGCTCAGCCCAGAGGGCCAGACGTGTGTCTCAGGGTCTTAGTAGATGCTGGCCTGCCCTTGACCTGGCTGGGCATTTCTGAGTGGAACCTGCCCTGCACTCCCATGCCAGGCCCAGCCACGCTCTTCAGAGCCTCAGGGCATGGGAGACATTTCAATGACTTGTGACGCCTCAGGCTCCACCCCTAGCTTCAGGGTGAAAGAAAAAAAGCAGTTCCCTCAGTGGTGACTCACCGCAAGTGTGTCAGCGTAGAACTGTTTACAGTGGCTGGTTTGTTGGAAGCAAATTACCAGGCCTTTCTTCTGAGGCACATTTGGATGGGCTCAGGCCAACCACCTTTTGGGAAGCAGTCGAGCACAGGAACCGTTTGCAGAACCCGGGACAGCAGCTCCTGTTGGGCAGTGTGGAATCCACTCCTAAATGGCTATAATCAAAGGCTCCTATCCTGCTCCTAAGGAGCTCCAGCTGCAGGTTAGTGGACAGGGCATTTGACTGCTAACCAGAGGGTCAGCAGTTCAAACCTACTAGGCACTCCACGGAAGGAAGATGGGGCAATCTACTTCCATAAAGATTTACAGCCTTGGAAATCCATTCGGGGGTTGCTATGAGTCAGAATCGACTCTTAGCAGTGAGTTTGGTTTCTTTTTTTTTTTATTTTTTCTAATTCAGAAATTAAAGAAAAGAGTTAAGCATTAGGCCACTTACTAAAAGGTTACTGGTTTCAACGCATCCAGAGGCCCCTGAGAAGG